CCACATGCCCATCAAACTGCAGGGGGCAAATATTGAGGTCTCCATGAGGTCCTGTTGAAGTCTCTCCCCAGTCTGAGGTAAGGGGTAGACATCTCCTATCCTCCAGAGTTGAATTCACAGCTTACCAATAACTTTCTCCAAAAACATTCTCCTACCTAATTTCCAGCTCTAGAAGTTGAATGGGGATGTGGCATTTAAGAATTGCATAATTGGTTCTTAGAATCCTCCTTTGGGAATTCAGCATATGGTCTAACTCCTCCTTTGGAATGTGTTAATTATTGTGTTGGTGCTTCAGCCCAAAACTCCTATTTTAATATTCTACTATGTATGTAATAATTACTTTCAGATAAACTGGATTTCCATTGTGTGCTTTCTTTTCTTCAACCATTTTCTTCCCTTTCTCTCTCTCTCTCCTCTCAAGAGAACTGAATTGGAGGCATATGGTGGGAAGAATAAGGGAGTGCTGTATATTTCACATATCCACTCACATGGGGAGGGAGATGTTCAAGCAGCCCAGTGGTTGAAGATAGCACCATCATTTATCTCATAACTCATCCTCTGTTACTATTCCCTGTGTTTAGGTTGGCTTGTTGACTCTCTTCCTTGGTGACTTTTTATAGGAGGGGCATTTTACTATACAAGTTGTGAACTACAGACTCTGGGGTTAGATCATCTGGATCAAATCCCAGCCCCACCACTTATTAGTTTTGTGTCCTTGGGCAAGTCATTTAATCTCTTTGAACCTCAGTTTCCTCATCTGAAGAATAGGGATAATAATACTTGCTTTATAGCATTATTGTGAGAATTAAATGACATAATATACATAGGGCTCTTAAAGCAATGCCTGGCCTATAGCAAGAACTATGTAAGGGGTAGTAGCAGTAGTTGTAATTATTGTTATTACCAGTACTATTACTATTCATCTTTTAAGATTCAATTTAAATATCTCCTGCTTTCTGAATTCTTGGGGGATCATCCCAATCAGAATAGGCTAGATTTTAATCTGTGGTCTCACAGCACTGTCTTTGCTTTGCTGCCACCCTTGTCACAAGGTACCCAGGTTAGTGCTAGCATATTGCCTTCTCCACTAGCCAGTGTTCATTTCAAGGTCATTGTATCTCTTTCTGGGCACAGTGCTTAAACATAGCAGACATGGTCAACAAACGATAATTTCTTTCCCCTCTCATTATTGTTGAATAGTTTAATCTAACTCTTAAGATCTAAAAATTAATTTATAATATTTAAAGAATATTATAAAATAGGAATATTCTTTTAAAAATGTGTGCAGAAGGCAAATACCATGTAAGTTAAAAGAAAATAATTTTCTAATTATTAATAAAGTCTGCCAAATATTTGCAACCGATATTAGACCAAGAAAACATTCTGTTTTGTACATATAGTAACAAAAGCCAACATTTACCAAAATATTGGCTTCTTAAAGAAAGTAGAAAAGCAAAATATTTAGAACAAGAATGTGTTTAGTAACTGAGCACATGTTAATGAAAAATGTGAGCCTGGATTCAGTTGTTTATACATATTGTCACCTTTGGTTTTCTCTGTATAAAGCAGAGATGGGCAAGTCTGATCTTTGTCTGAAATGCTTTTGTGGCAGCAGTGATAAGGTGAACCCTGGCATAATCAGCATAGTTTCCAGAGCAAACACTTTGAAAACACCACAACTAGTTATAACAAATGTGTTGTTTAAATAGGTTCTGCCTCATTTTTTTTTCTTTTTTTTTTTTTTTTTTTTTTTTTTTTTTTTTGCAAAACTCGGGCTTCTCACTGTTGTGGCCTCTCCCACCGCGGAGCACAGGCTCCGGACGCGCAGGTTCAGCGGCCATGGCTCACGGGCCCAGCCGCTCCGCGGCATGTGGGATCTTCCCGGACCGGGGCACGAACCCGTGTCCCCTGCATCGGCAGGCGGACTCTCAACCACTGTGCCACCAGGGAAGCCCCAGGTTCTGCCTCATTTTATCTGTCTACCCCAAGGGGCTTGGAGCTTTACTATTCTCAAACTCCCTCAGTCTCAGCCCTGTCATCCAGTATAATGGTCTACTTAAATGCACTGTACTTGGAAATGCTTTCACTTGAGTCAAGGTCATGAAGGTTTTAACATCTCACAGCCAAGTCATGACAAGCCACTCACAGGTATAGATGCCCTTAATGTTAGTAATTTGGGGGTGAAAAGGGAGGGGTCAGACAATTATTGATTAGGAAGAGGCTTAGTTCTTGTAAATTTGGTAGTCATTAAAAAAGAACCTGAGGGGTAAGAACTCTATTTCTGAAAACACATTTACGAAACTATTGAGATTATTGGAATGCCTTTTTTCTTTTCTGAATCTAATTTTTAAAATACCTCTTTTGACACACACAAAAAAAGGATGAGGACATTTTCCCCTCATCCTTAGCAACCTTGAAGAGTCCACACCACTATTCCTCAGGGAATCTACAATATTACTCTAAAAGAAGTTTTACCAGTGTACTATTATACTATTGTATATCAGTGTCCCTGACAATTGCTTTCCTTCACTGCAACAAACAGACACTTTGTTTCCAGAATATTCCTGAGTGCAACTCAGTAAAATTTTTTGATAGGAATGCTTTGCCAAAGATGTCATTGACAGGAATCAGTTTGGAAGTTACGGGGTTGAGTCTGACAGTAGTTCCTCCCCCAGCCTCCCCATTAAGCTTAGTTTGGGAGAATTGGATATGGGAAGGATCTAGCTAATAGTTCTTCTTAAACTACTGAAGCATAATTCTATCTCACATGGAATAGCGCACCAACAAAAACTTCGAACCAAATAAACAGTGACTGTTTGAAATCTGTTTTATAGTTATAAATCTCAAAATACTATGCATGCTTAACATATGAAAAGATATTTTGACAACCACAAATCAGTTCAAATATCATGTGTTCTACAGTATTTTGAGGGTTGTTAAGAATTGCATAAGGAACAGAAAATAACTAGAAATGATATTAGTCAAAGATATCAAAATTTAGCATAAACACTTCAGTTACTATTATAATTCTATAAATTATTTATAAGTCCTTTCTCCTAAGCATTTGCAAGTGTGTGCGCTAAATATTTGCGAAGTAGTGTTTCCCTCCTAAATTCCTTGTTGTTACTAATCCAGAATATCTATTCCTGGATGTGGGAATCATTCAAGATTGAAGCTGAGGGTTCCACGGTTTATCTCTATAATTACCTCTGTTTTCTAATTCATTTGTCTCCATGGCCATAACCAGAGACTATAAAATAAAGGTTCCAGTAAGTATATCTCAATGCTGTGGGTGTTTTTTAATATGTTTTTCACAGAAAGCATTTTTTTAAAACATATTGTCAGACATATGGGCTGTGTCTTTCTCCATCAGTCATTTTTAAGAACTGCTTCAATTGCTAATCAACAGAGATGCATTAAGAGCATAAAAAATAATAATAACCCCAAAGGATGAGTCACTACCTGTTCCTTTTTATTCCCTTTGGTCAGTGAAAATATCAATCTCAAAAAATTAAAAACCGGACACTCATACACATGTGGATTTCAGTTTGCTTGTGAGTAGGATTGTCCTGTGGCAGGTACATACCAACTATAGGATCAAAGTCTTGGGTCAGGGTTTTGCATCAGACTGGTGGTGGCTTATTCCATTAGCTGGTGTGACAGTGACTTCCAGCCATCCTCCCTGCTTGGAGGGGAATGTTTACACACATGCATAACTTGTGTCCCTATTTGTGAATACCTCAAAATCCTCACCGTAATTCAGTTTGGCATCCCCATTTATGGTCCGATGACTAAAGTTTCAGACTATAGTGTATCGGCCATTTTATTATTTATTACTTATAAAAAAGTGTTTTTTCAGCTTTCAGTTGGCATGTCTATTTTAGAAAAGCACTGCGATATACTACATACCAGGAAATCTTCCTTTTAAGGAGGACTTGATGAGTAGGACAGAGCTAAAGAGAGCTTTGACAGGTTTGCCAAGGTTGCCAGCACCCCAGCTTGAGTATTTTCTGCTCAGGTTGTACCAAATTCCAGATTTTAATGGCATGAGAAGCACAATAGTGAAGAATGAAAAGCTTTTATTTTCAGAAAATTGTTTTGCCCACACATTTCTGTGCTCCAACACCCTAACCCAACCTCCTACCATTTATATCTTCAAACCATCCCAGGTGGTAATTTTAGGAAAAACTGGCTGAGTTAGGATCTATGCTCTTCTCATTGTAGCAAGGACCTAGAAGATAGGCCTTTATTTCCTTACCAGAAAGAATGATATATTTTAAGTTTGCCTTTTAAATTTTTAATAACATTTTTTCATAAAAACAAAAGTTGGAATATATTTTCAGACTGATTACAATGTGTAGCATTGTAATTTGCAAAAAAAAAAGAGAAAAGAAAAAAAATAGTAGATACAACTATGTGGAAAAGATGGATTATGTGATGTCCTAGTTTTCATATCAAAGAGAAAATATTCATGTGAATTAAGTAAATGGGTTTTGGAGTCAGTGAGATCTGTTTGAACCCCAACTTACCACTTATTACCTGTATCACTTCTGGCAAGTTTCTTAACTCCCTTGAACCTGGTTTCTCATTTTAAAAATCAGAGATGGTACCTATCTTAAAGAGTGGTTTTTAAGCAATAACTGAGATCAGGAACATGAAACTCTTATTAAGTGCCTGGCATGTAGTGAATACTAAATAAGCATTAGCTACTTAACTAGCCCTACTATTCCTGACAAATTTCTGCTGCTTCTCCCACTGCTGTTTCTATTAATATTTTTTTAACATCTTTATTGGAGTATAATTGCTTTACAATGCTATGTTAGTTTCTGCTGTATAACAAAGTGAATCAGCTATATGTATACATATATCCCCATATCCCCTCCCTCTTACATCTCCCTCCCACCCTCCCTATCCCACCCCTCTAGGTGGTCACAAAGCACCGAGCTGATTTCTCTATGCTATGCGGCTGCTTCCCACTAGCTAGCTGTTTCACATTTGGTAGTGTATATATGTCCACTCTCTCACTTCATCCCAGCTTACCTTTCCTCCTCCCTGTGACCTCAAGTCCATTCTCTACATCTGCATCTTTATTCCTGTCCTGCCCCTAGGTTTTGTTTTTTTTTTAGACTCCATATATGTGTTAGCCTATGGTATTTGTCTTTCTCTTTCTGACTTACTTCACTCTGTATGAGAGACTCTAGGTCCATCCACCTCACTACAAATAACTCAATTTCATTTCTTTTTATGGCTGAGTAGTATTCCATTGTATATATGTGCCACATCTTCTTTATCCATTCATCTGTCAATGGACACTTAATTAATTAATGTTTGCTATTGTTTCCTTCATTTCTTTTTCATTTATTTCTGATCTGATCTTTATGATTTCTTTCCTTCTGCTGACTTTGGGTTTTTTTGGTTCTTCTTTCTCTAATTGCTTTAGGTGTAAAGTTAGGTTGTTTATTTGAGATATTTCTTGTTTCTTCTTTTTTTTCTGAATTTTAGAATTTTATTTTTTTTACAGCAGGTTCTTATTAGTTATCCATTTTATACATATTAGTGTATGTATGTCAGAAGAAGAAAGAGAAGTCTGTTGTTTTTGGATGGAATGTGCTATAAATATCAATTAAGTCCATCTTGTTTAATGTATCATTTAAAGCTTGTGTTTCCTTATTTATTTTCATTTTGGATGATCTGTCCATTGGTGAAAGTGGGGTGTTAAAGTCTGCTACTCTTACTCTGTTACTGTCGATTTCCTCTTTTATGGCTGTTAGTATTTGCCTTATATATTGAGGTGCTCCTATTTTGGGTGCATAAATATTTACAATTGTTATATCTTCATCTTGGATTGATCATTATGTCATGTCCTTCTTTGTCTCTTGTAATAGTCTTTATTTTAAAGTCTATTTTGTCTGATATGAGAATTGCTACTCCAGGTTTCTTTTGATTTCCATTTGCATGGAATATCTTTTTCCATCCCCTCACTTTAGTCCGTATGTGTCCCTAGGTCTGAAGTGGGTCTCTTGTAGACTACATATATACGGGTCTTGTTTTTGTATCCATTCAGCCCGTCTATGTCTTTAGGTTGCAGCATTTAATCCATTTACATTTAAGGTAGTTATCAATATGTATGTTCCTATTCCCATTTTCTAAATTGTTTTGGATTGTTACTGTAGGTCTTTTCCTTCTCTTGTGTTTCCTGCCTAGAGAAGTTCCTTTAGCATTTGTTGTAAAGCTGGTTTGGTGGTGCTGAATTCTCTTAACTTTTGTCTGTAAAGGTTTTAATTTCTCCATCGAATCTGAATGAGATCCTTGCTAGGTAGAGTAATCTTAGTTGTAGGTTTTTCCCTTTCATCATTTTAAATATGTCCTGCCACTCCCTTCTGGCTTGCAGAGTTTCTGCTGAAAGAGCAGCTGTTAACCTTATGGGGATTCCCTTGTGTGTTATTTGTTACTTTTCCCTTGCTGCTTTTAATATTCTTTGTATTTAATTTTTGATAGTTTGATTAATATGTATCTTGGGGTGTTTCTCCTTGGATTATCCTGTATGGGATTCTCTTTGCTTCCTGGACTTGACTATTTCCTTTCCCATGTTAGGGAAGTTTTCAAATATAGTCTCTACAATTTTTTTCTCAGACCCTTTCTTTTTTCTCTTCTTCTTCTGGGACCCCTATAATTCGAATGTTGGTGTGTTTAATGTTGTCCTAGAGGTCTCTGAGACTGTCCTCAATTCTCTTCATTCTTTTTTCTTCATTCTGCTCTGCAGTAGTTATTTCCACTATTTTATCTTCCAGGTCACTTATCTCTTCTTCTGCCTCAGTAATTCTGCTATTGATTCCTTCTAGAGAATTTTTAATTTCATTTATTGTGTTGTTCATCATTGTTTGTTTGCTCTTTAGTTCTTCTAGGTCCTTGTTAAACCTTTCTTGTATTTTCTCCATTTTATTTCCACGATTTTGGATCATCTTTACTATCATTATTCTGAATTCTTTTTCAGGTAGACTGCCTATTTCCTCTTCATTTGTTTGGTCTGGTGGTTTTTCACCTTGCTCCTTCATCTGCCGTGTGCTTCCCTGTCTTCTCATTTTGTTTAACTTACTGTGATTTGGGTCTTCTTTTCGCAGCCTGCAGGTTTGTAGTTCCCGTTGTTTTTGGTGTCTTCCTCCAGTGGGTGAGGTTGGTTCTGTGGCTTGTGTAGGCTTCCTGGTGGAGTGGACTGGTGCCTGTGTTTTGGTGGGTGGGGCTGGATCTTGTCTTTCTGGTGGGCAGGGCTGCATCTGGTGGTGTTTTTTGGGGTGTCTGTGAACTTAGTATGATTTTAGGCAGCCTCTCTGCTAATGGGTGGGGTTGTGTTCCTGGTGCTAGTTGTTTGGCATGGTCTGTCCAGCACTGGATCTTGCTGGCCATTGGGTGGACCTGGCTTTTAGTGTTGAGATGGAGATCTCTGGGAGAGTTCTTGCTGACTGATATTATGTGGGGCCAGGAGGTCTCTGGTGTTCCAATGTCCTGAACTGAGCTCTCTCACCTCAGAGGCTCAGGCCTGACACCAGGCCAGAGCACCTAGACCCTGTCAGCCACATGGATCAGAGTAAAAAGGAGAAAAAAAGAAAAAAAATTTAAAAAGTATGAAAATAAAAAAAAAATAGTAATAATAAAGAGAAGAAAGCAACCAAACCAATAAACAAATCCACCGATGATAACAAGCGCTAAAAGCTAAACTAAGATAAACATAAAAATCAGAACAAATCAGTTGCAGACAGCAAACCCAAAGTCTACAGTAGCTCCCAAAGTCTACTGCTTCAGTTTTGGGATGATTCATTGTCTATTCAGGTATTCCACAGATGCAGGGTACATCAGGTTGATTGTGGGGATTTAATCCAGTGCTTCTGTAGCTGCACAGAAAAATTTCCCTTTCTCTTCTTCGTTCACACAGCTCCTGGGGTTCACCTTTGGTTTTGGCCCCACCTCTGTGTGTAGGTCACTCTCAGGCACCTCTTCCCACCCAGGCAGGATGGGATTAAAGCAGCAGCTGATTAGGGGGCTCTTGCTCATTCAGGCCAGGGGGAGGGAGGGGTATGGTAGTTATAATTGGAATGCAGGGTGAGCCTGCAGTGGCAGAGGCCAGTGTGATGTTGCAACAGCCTGAGGTGCACCGTGTGTTGTCCCGGGGAAGTTGTCCCTGGATCAGAGGACCCTGGCAGTGGCGGGCCGCACAGGCTCCCAGGGGGGGTGTAGATAGTGGCCTGTGCTTTGCACACAGTATTCTTGATGGCTGCAGCAGCGTTAGCGTTTCAGGCCCATCTCTGGTGTCCAAGCTGATAGCCATGGCTCATGCCTGTCTCTGGAGCTTGTTTAGATGGTGCTCTGCCTTCTGTGGGCAAACAGGAAAGGAATCCTCTCTCCTCGCACACCCCGAAACAATGGTCTCTTGCCTCTTAGGTCCAGACTCCCTCCCGGCTAGCTGTGGCACAGTAGCCCCCTTCATGCTGTGTTCACACAGTCAACCCCAGTCCTCTTCCTGGGATCCGACATCCGAAGCCCAAGCCTCAGCTCCCAGCCCCCACCTGCCCCAGCTGGTGAGCAGACAAGCCTCTCAGGCTGGTGAGTGCTGGTCAGCACCGATTCTCTGTGTGGAAATCTCTCCACTTTGCCCTCCGCACCACTGTTGCTGCGCTCTCCTCCGTGGCTCCGAAGCTTCCCCGCTGCTCACCCCCATCTCCACCAGTGAAGGGTCTTCCTAGTGTGTGGAAACTTTTCCCCCTTCCCAGCTCCCTCCCAGAGGTGCAGGTCCCATCTCTATTACTTTGTCTCTGTTTTTTCTCTTTTCTTTTTCCCTACCCAGGTACGTGGGGACTTTCTTGCCTTTTGGGAAGTCTGATGTCTTCTGCCAGCGTTCAGTAGGTGTTCTGTAGGAGTTGTTCCACATGTAGATGTATCTTTGATGTATTTGTGGGGAGGAAGGTGATCTCCACATCTTACTCCTCTGCCATCTTGAAGGACCCACCCTCTATTAATATTTGTTATTCGTCCACCATGCTACTCAAAACCCTTCAGGCTTTCCATTGCTGCATCCTCACCCTATTCTAATTTATCTGACCATTGCCCTTACCTATGTTTTCCCAATATCCCAAAATAATTTTATCCTGTTGTTTATCCTTGGAATGCTCTCTTCCTTCCCACCTGTTGAAATCCTATTCATCTTTTAAGTACCAGCTGAAATGTGTCTTCTCAACTAAATCTTTATCAGTGTACCAAGGTAAAAATCAATCCTTCACACAGCTGTGCTTTCAAATCCCTAGGTCTTCACATTTATTATAGCATTTTTATTCTTATCTTATGGTTGTTTACACCTCTCTCTCTCTCATTATATTGTAAAGTATTTGAATACTTTCTTACTTATCTTTATTCTCTCCCGCTACATACAGTCCTCACCAGTGAGTACAAGGCTTTTCTGTTTGGTTACAACTCAATCAATACTTGTTAAAATAAATTGTTATCCAGAATTCTCTAATAACAAGGATTTCCATTCTTTGCTGGTAGAATGAAAATTGATGGTCATACAGATAACTCTAAGATAATATAAGAGACCGAAGTACTCTCTAAATAATCAAATGACCTTCAACATGTTTTAGAATTGTGGGGGGATTTTTGTCATACTGTTATTTTGTTAGTTGGTTACCCATAGATGGTGTATCAATTTACTAGGGCTGCTCTAACAAAATACCACTGACTGGGTGGCTTAAACAGAAGTTATTTTCTCATCCTTCTGGAGGCTGGAAGTCCAAGATCAAGGTTCTTGCAGGGTTGGTTTCCTCTGAAGCCTCTCTCCTTGACTCAAAGATGACCGCCCTCTTGCTGCTTCTTCACGTGGCTGTCCCTCTGGGCTCATGTACCCCTGGTATCTCTCTGTCTCTCCTAATCTCTTCTTAAAATGACATCAGTCAAATTGGATTAGGGCTCATCCTGAGGGCCTCATTTTAAGTAAATGCCTTCTTGAAAGACTCTACATTTAAATATAGTCACATTCTGAGGTATTGGGTGTTAGGACTTCAACATATGCATTTGGGGAGAACACAATTCAGTCCGTAACAGATGACAACTCATTTTCTAATCAGAATTTTTTGTTTTCCAGAAAACCTCATTTCCTAATAATTAGTCCCTCTCATCATAATATAACTTATGGTCCTATGATTCCTCACACATGAAATTTTCAAAGTGAGTAATAGAATAAGAGTACCTGTGGGGTACTATGTACTGCTTATTAGTAAGAAAAAACCTTATATCTTCATTTCCTATAATTTTTCATGGTTATTATTGTCAATTTTTCATTAGATAAACAATTTGCAGGGGAAAATTGCAAGAAACATAAATAATACTGGTAACAGTAATATTAAAAATGACTGGCTTTGATTGAGTACTTCCTACTTGCCCAAGCACTTCACAGAGCATTATTTCATTTAGTCCTTGCAACTACCTTAAACAGTCTGAGACTTAGGGAGGTTAAAAGTTTCCCAAGGTCACACACATATAGAAAGAGATGGGTCGGTCCCTTTTAGCTTGTCTCTGGTATAGGCCAGAGTCTATCTGATGCCCAGGTCCATGTATTTGACCAGTATACTACAACTGCCACTCAGTGATGACACCAGATATAGGAAGGGTCTAGGATAGTGATTCCATTGGACGGGAAGCAAGAGGACTCTTCCTGAAACTGATTTTGCGTAAACAGACACTATTTTTATGTATCGTGTATTAATCTTTTTTTTTTTTTTTTCGGTACGCGGGCCTCTCACTGTTGTGGCCTCTCCCATTGTGGAGCACATGCTCCGGACGCACAGGTTCAGCAGCCATGGCTCACGGGCCTAGCCACTCTGTGGCATGTGGGATCTTCCCAGACCAGGCCCCAAACCCATGTCCCCTGCATCAGCAGGCAGACTCTCAACCACTGCACCACCAGGGAAGCCCCCGTGTATTAATCTTGATTAATGTTGGGTGTGGGGGGGCAGTGGGACAGCTGGGAGAAAGAGGGAGGGCTAAGCCCTCCCAAAGCACAAGTTGGTTCTACAGTTGCGGCCAATCCAGAGTCAAAAGTAGAAATCTGGGTTCCTAGGTACTTAACGCAAGTTCACCTTTGGATGCCACCAATTCTGGAAAACCAGGGTGGCATGAGTCAAAAAATATTTCTGTGTTGTTTTAAAGTAGTAGTTACAACCACTAAGAGAAATGCACTTAAAAGATTTCAGAAATATTCAGCATAAATTTTGAGTTTCCAAGGGTTATGTTCCCATCAGTATAAGACAGCTCACATAAAAACAGAAGGGCCACAGGCCCAGCTCCCCACCTCTGGTTGCTGTCAGTATATTTCTCAGCCATTAGGAGTAGAGCAAAGACTACATTACATCTTATTTTCCAGAATTTAAATTGTTTTAGTGCATGTGTGTAAATCATCCTGTGGCTTCATTAAACTATTTTCAGATAATAATACCGACAGAGTCACTTTTACTTACAAAACCTCAAACAATTATAACAGTATCCCCCTGTGGTGCTGAACTGTTTCATTAGTGTTTATATTCTTGCTTTAGCACGTCCCTTTTGTCCTCTTTTATTTCTTTTACTAATTGTTACAACAGGCTTAAATAAGAGTGATTACTTTCTACATAAATGTTTTTTTGTTAGTATAATTACCAGACTCACCTGGGACTCTGACTCTTTCACCTTAGCTGACTTTCTAGAATAAACCAATATATCTGTATTTTATCATCCTGTAATAGCCTTCATTCCAGTTTGGGTATCTCTTAAAATTTTGTTTTTTATAATCTCTTACTTTTGCTTGCTTAGTCAATGGCCCCTTACTATGATCGTCCTGTGGGTTTCATCCAGTAACAATGATCTGCTTATGGCCCTCTTAGCTAATTTCCCAGACATCATGAAGTTTCCAGGATTTCAGTTGGAATGTATCCGGTCATCCAAAATTGTGATTTTTTACACTTCAAACCCTGAAATGTAAAATAACTCTCTGGTTTTACAGCTGTCAGGAACAAGAACATATTGAATTGGTTTATGCCAAAAATATTTCATCCTCAATTTGATTTACTGGATATTTTGGCCACAGGTGCCGAAATACCATAAATAGTGGGTAGTGATTTACAGGGTAACTGCATAAAAGAGTGCTATAATTCCGAACCACAGGATGGAGCATGTGATGAGCTCTTGTATTGTAATATGGCCAAATTGACAGCTTTTTCTCATTTAAAGCTGTTTGTTTTCTATGAAGGTCACAGACCAAGGTCATTTGACAATACAAATACAATTCTGCTTCTTTGATCGTTCCTTCAAAGATGTTCAAGCAGAATAAAGCATCTTATATTCTACCGACACACAAAAAAAGTTATTCTTTTGGTTTTTTTTTTCTTGCGGTACGCGGGCCTCTCACTGTTGTGGCCTCTCCCATTGCAGAGCACAGGCTCTGGACGCACAGGTTCCGGACACACAGGCTCAGCGGCCATGGCTCACAGGCCCAGCCGCTCCGCGGCATGTGGGATCTTCCCGGACCGGGGCACGAACCTGCGTCCCCCGCATCTGCAGGCGGACTCCCAACCACTGTGCCACCAGGGAAGCCCCAAAAAAGGGTTATTCTTACAAGCATCCCAGACTTAAAAGAACTTTCTGTTAGTTTGTGCAATTGCCAAAGAGAAAAATGTTAGGATATATTCTGAGAAGTGAACTTTTGTATTTAAACAATGGGTTGGATTTTTTTTTCCAGAGCCCTGTTATTTCATTTGTAAAAACTCTACAGCTTTTAAATTACTTATCTTAAAAAAAAATTCCTGATCGCCTGTAATACTTGGTTGTGTATTATATGAGTAATTTAAATTAGTAGGAGAAAGCCTTA